CCAGAGACCCCCCAAAGCTGCCCCCACGACCCCCTCCTGGCCCCCCCCCGCCCCCCACCGTCATCATGTCGTCGCATTTCATGTCGGGCTCATCCTCATCTTCACTCTTATTGTAGAACTTGCGGAAGAAGTTGAAAGCCACGACGGTGTACAGATACACGACCACAGCCAGCAGCCCCACGGTCATGGCCAGCTGTGGGGCAGAGAGAGATTATGGGGTCCCACAGCATCCATGGGGTCCCACAGCATCCATGAGGTCCCACAGCATCAGTGGGGTCCCACAGCATCAGTGGGGTCCCACAAAATCAATGGGGAACCCACAGAATCCATGGGATCCCACAGCATCAGTGGGGTCCCACAAAATCAATGGGGAACCCATAGAATCCATGGGGATCCCACAGCATCCATGGGGTCCCACAGCATCAGTGGGGTCCCACAGCATCAATGGGGTCCCACAGCATCCATGGGGTCCCACAGCATCAATGGGGTCCCACAGCATCAGTGGGGATCCCACAGCATCAGTGGGGTCCCACAAAATCAATGGGGAACCCACAGAATCCATGGGATCCCACAGCATCAATGGGGTCCCACAGCATCAATAGGGTCCCACAGCATCAGTGGGGTCCCACAAAATCAATGGGGTCCCACAGCATCAATAGGGTCCCACAGCATCAGTGGGGATCCCACAGCATCAGTGGGGTCCCACAAAATCAATGGGGAACCCATAGAATCCATGGGGATCCCACAGCATCAGTGGGGTCCCACAAAATCAATGGGGTCCCACAGCATCGGTGGGGAACCCACAGCATCAATGGGGAACCCACAGCATCCATGGGGTCTCACAGCATCAGTGGGGATCCCACAGCATCAGTGGGGTCCCACAGCATCAGTGGGGAACCCATAGAATCCATGGGGATCCCACAGCATCAGTGGGGTCCCACAAAATCAATGGGGTCCCACAGCATCACTGGGGTCCCACAAAATCAATGGGGAACCCACAGAATCCATGGGGATCCCACAGCATCAGTGGGGCCCCACAAAATCAATGGGGTCCCACAGCATCCATGGGGTCCCATAGCATCCATGGGGTCCCACAGCATCAGTGGGGAACCCACAGCGTCAGTGGGGTCCCACAGCATCAGTGGGGATCCCACAAAATCAATGGGGAACCCATAGAATCCATGGGGATCCCACAGCATCCATGGGGAACCCACAGCATCAATGGGGAAACACAGCATCAGTGGGGTCCCACAGCATCAACGAGGATCCCATAGCATCAATGGGGTCCCATAGCATCCATGGGGTCCCACAGCATCAGTGGGGAACCCACAGCATCCATGGGATCCCACAGCGTCAGTGGGGTCCCACAGCATCAGTGGGGAACCCACAGCATCCATGGGATCCCATAGCGTCAGTGGGGTCCCACAGCATCAGTGGGGAACCCACAGAATCCATGGGGATCCCACAGCATCAATTGGGTCCCATA